CGCCCGTGTCTTGTGTGTTTCCACTCTCGCGAACTTTCCACAGACCAAGAGCTTAGAACCTCACCCAGGACCCCCGGCCGAACCGGCAAAGGGAGGCCTGCGCGGTCTCCCGGTGAGGAGCCCCAAGCTCCGTCAGATGTCTACTGTGTTGCACCTCTGCAACACACCTCTTACAGGTATATTTCCATCATATGGTATATTTATCGTGTGAGTACTTTCAGCTGTAATGAACATCGGAATTTTTGTGTACATGAACCGATTTTGTTCCTCCATATGCTATATATGTTGTATACATGAACTGCTAGCTTCATCATTGATCTTTTTTTACATCTCAGTTCAAAAATATGATTCATGAATCCATGTAACTATAGTGTAGGGGCTGTGACAATCTTTCAAGAAAGTTTACTGGAATGAGACACACCTATTTTTCTAGTTTTAGGAAAAGTTTACTGTAATTGGCAGAAATTTGACCATCACTAAGTAGTTAGATTTCTGGCATTAATATTGCATTTGTACTGTGATTGTTCTGCTGATAGCATAATTTATATTCTGCTCCATCTATCCACTACAGGCTGGTGGCAACAAATCAAGATGGCTGATGATGGTCCATGGAGATCAAGAACTATCTCAGTTTATATCTATGTTTTTGTTAACTGTTATTTTGTTATCCCTAAAGTTGCCTTGTGTGGCTTATTAGTGTCTAATCAGACCAAGAACTTTATCTAGTTTCAATGGTCCTTTTGTTTGATGGCATGTTGCCAGAAGATTTGTGAATCATCGTAACTGTTTCACTGTTTGGATTATTAATCCTCTATTTAACTAGCTCTGATGTGATTGTGTATATGTGGTGCAACAAAATGGCCACAAATATGGATGTCAGGACTGATCCCAACAACTGCTATTGGCATGCATGCATTAAATAGTACAATGTATTAATCTCTGACATTTAACAGCTAATCTATTGTACTTGATAAGCTATATGCTAGCTCTTCCTGAGCTGGACAGAAAATTGGAGATGGCAGTGGGCGCTCTATTGAGCTTGCTCTGAGAGCGTGATATGATATTCTACAGCTCTGCTTGTTTGTTTATTGTTTAAGATTAGAGCGCGCGACCGCCCAAGAAACAATTAATAATCCACCCTTTCTTTTTAATTGGATTGGGGCGTGTGCGTGGCGCAGCGTATGCCGTCAAGTACGCTTGTCTGTCAGGACCTGCAATTGATCAGTAACTTGCCGGGGATTAGTGTTTGGTTGATTTTGACTAGCATGTTTGTTTAATCTACCTAGAATAAACTTTGTTGGGCATTCTATATTTTGGAACACACGTAGAATGCACCTTTTCAAATTAAACAGTCCTAAGATAAACATTTCATATGTATCCAGCTCACACATGTTGATCCCAAAACTCAATTCTCGTGAATTATACGAGTTCTAATGGAAGGAAACTAGGACAAGATTAAAATCTTATAGTTAAAATTTAACAATTTAACCCTTTGCAAAAACTAATTTTACAAATGAAGCGCGGCCAAAACTTATTTAAAAAATGACCTTTTTTTCAGTGTCAAATCGTATAGCGCTGAACTTAGATACCTCAGCGCCACGTCAACTGGCGCTGGATGCCGTGCCACCGTGGATGGGAGGCTGAGTCGGCGTGCCAACGTGCATTCAACGCCGTGCTATTTGGCGCTGAGGTGTCTAAGTTCAGCGCCATACGATTTGGCGCTGAACAAAAGGGTTATTTTTTAAATAAGTTTTAGCCACTGTTCATTTGTAAAATTAGTTTTTGCAAAGGGTCAAATTGTTAAAATTTGTGGCTAGTTCCTTATTTAGATTATATGGAAGAGCTTCTCTAAGAACCTAAACATAGCCCCAAACGATTTTTAAAGGTTGAGGCAAAAATCTAGGTCCAGCAAGGATCCTGCTTGTGGCCAAAAACTAGCTAGGGAGGACCCCAAGCACCTAGTGCTGGGGTTCTAGTCCTTAAGCCCCATCCACTGTTGGAAAGTGCAGGTGAAATTTTCATCATATCTCTTTCCGTACAACACCGTGTACTTCGTCTGTCGCACCCCTCGCCAATCCTGCCTCTGGCGCGATTGCTAGTTGCCACTCCTCGTAGACCGGTGCCTCAATCCTCCAACTGTCATGCCTCTGCTCGATGACTCCTTAGGCCGATGATGCCTTTTTCGATCGACATGTCTCCTGGCAATGGTCTCCTCTGCCTCCGCCTGTCCTGCCTCCTTCTCATTGCACTTCCGTCTTCCAAGGTTGGATGACATATCTTGCCCATTCCCTTTCTTCCTCCTCACCCAACGGTCACCTCCTTGCCCGACACCCTCCTTCCCACCGCGATAGCCACCTCCCTACCCGCGCGGCCTTCTCGTCGCACGACCTCCTCCTCGCCCAACGACCTTATTCCCAGAGTGCCACCTCCCTCGCTAGCGTCCTCCTCATTGCCTAACCTCTTCCTCGCCCGGTGCCCTCCGCGGCCAATGCCCTCCTCCATAGATGCTGCACAAAGCTTAGGCCAACATGAGCCATTCATCGTGTATCCATTGGAATACGCAGGAGGACAAAGAAGAAAAGGAAAAATAAAATGTTTAGCCATTGATAGACAGGTCCTACATGTCAAAATAGGGACTGAGATTTAGAGGCTACTATTCGAGTTGAATGCAGAATATAGGTGGTAAGAAAATAGGAGCAGCCCCTACTTAGCTTTTATGGTCTCTGATTTGGGGCTACTGCTGAAAATGATATGAGAAACAAAATGAGGAACAAAATGACTTTCCCGGTTATTTGGAGAGAGAAAGAGACTACAACAAACAAAATGACTTATCGCGACGACTGCATCCGCTCGTCCATTCATCAGTCGGGCTGGAGGTTTAATTTTCTGAGAGCGACAGGCCGACAGCTCAGATTTACATGAACCTTTCCATAAGCTCGATTGGTTCCTATCCACACGATGTTTAGCCATTGATCGACCCGGTCATACGTCCTGCATGGGAGTTCCTCTTTGATTTGAAGTGTTGATGCATATATGGACAGCTGGTTTGCTCCAGCACCGTACAGATATAATGTTTTTACTCATCTGTTGGACCTTGCGAGAAATTTATGGCAGGTTTAGTAGAGCTTCAGTTCTTGATCTTCTACCTCCGTTCTATAATAGGTGCCACTTTAATTTTTTCTTACAACGTTTGACCATTTGTTTGATTTAAAAAATTAGTGCGAATATAAAAAAGATAAGTCATACTTTAAGTACTGTAATAAAGCAAGTCACAAACAAAACAAATAATAATTTCAAAATTTTTTGAATAAGATGAATGATCAAATATTAAAAAAAAACTCAAAGCGATAAGTAATATGGGACGGAGGTAGTATCATTTTTGTTAGAGCTAGAATTCAGTTAAATAGTTTCAACTTCATCTAAAATAGAAGTGGAGTGATGTGAAGTACTTTCATAACAAGAACCATAAATATAAAGCTAGTTTTAAACCGCTTCACAACTTCACTCTAACACCTACTCAATCTTAGAGTTAAATTTATATGTTAAAATCGTGCTAAACATGTCCTTAAGTGATGACAGCTATATATGTAAAAACAAAGCATGTTTTTTTTCCTTCAAGTGCATGGTGTGTTGCTAATGCAAGCTAGTATAATTAGTTTAGTGTATCCGTAACTTCTGGCTGGTCGCAGGGAAAAATTCAGAGATTTCGGGACTTGACTACACATTATATATGAACAGTGGCGCGAGCAATGATTTCAGCATGTGCAGGGGGCAACTTAGTTACTACTACAAGTGATAATTATCGCGGAAAAATAGGATACAAATGTCCCCACCTCTCGAGAATATCATAGAGCATACCAATACCAATATATACATATATTTTAAAATTTTAGTATCGGAAGAGATTCATTCCGAAGCTTATTATATTATTATCCCTAAAAGAAATGCAAACACAATACAACATATTATATACTATACAATAGACCTCTTCGGCTGCGCTTTGCAGCCGCTCCTGCACATATAAAATACTGTATGTATAGGCTGCAGTGTAAATACGGGCAGTCGAACAGTCCCAATAGAACATCCCAAGATGCTTAGCATAATGGTACAAATAATGCTTAGCAATTTGGTGTTGCAGCACCGGTCCATCCTCCCTTCCTGGCCGTACATGGTCTGCCCATATTGGAGGGCACCTAATACAGTGATAATCACATATCTAGACACTTCATCTAATATTTTTTTATTTATTAATTTTAAACTTTAGTTATTTTTATATTTTATTTCTATGCGGACTCTAACCTCTACTTTTAGTTTTCTTTTCTTTTTATAATTTCAAATTTCGATTACTTCTAAATTTTATATTTGTATGGACTTTAGTCTTCTTTTCTAATATTTTTTATTTTTTAATTTTGCATTTCAGTTATTTTTAATTTATACTTCCATATAGATTTCTTTTATTAATATAAGAATTTTCATGTGGCGAGAGCCAACGTGGAGGCTAGATTGTGTGCGTCGGGGGAAGCTGTGCCCATGGCTGATCCGCCAATCCACCAGCAATAGCTGGCCTGATCTATGACATCATGCGTTCATGACACCTAATATAGTATTATCTCCGTTCTAAAATATAGTTCTAAAATATAGTAAATTTTAGCTTTGATTTTAGACATATAGGATGTGTTTAGTTCACGCTAAAATTAAAAGTTTGGTTGAAATTGGAATGATGTGAAGGAAAAGTTGGAAGTTTGTGTGTGTAGGAAAGTTTTAATGTGATGGAAAAGTTGAAAGTTTAAAGAAAAACTTTGATACTAAACACGGCCATAATTGTCTAGGTTCTAGGTACATAGTTAGATATTTTTGGATGGAGGGAGTATTAAACTCTACGATAAATCAGTCTATTTTTTCGCACTAGCATTCAAGAACAAGCCAAGCAATGAGAATTTTGCCACTAGCTCGCTGGAGCGCAACAAAAATCAGGCCGTGACATCTGGCTGGTAGCTAGTGAGAAGTAGAATCGGTTCCTTGCAGACGTGTTCGATCTGCTGGTGCCACCAACCCGCCAATCCAGTAATTTAAAAGGCCACACAATTTTAGCCCCCTGCACATGCATTGTCTCTCCAATATCTATCACTCACCACCCTTCAGGGATCACATTTCTTTTCCTTCCTCCTCTCCTGGCCCAGCTCATACTTATTCTTTTCACAGGTTAGCACTATTCGAAGAAAGATTCTGGTGTTTCCTACTTCCTGGTGAGGCCATTTCCTGACAGACACAACGAGAATAATGGCATAGATGATATGTGCTCCAGGGTTTATACGAAAATCAATAATTATAGCAGATATCCACAAGGTCGGTTGAGCTTGCTGCCACCTGCCAGGAGCCTTCATCTCCCAGCTGTGTTGGTCCAGCTGGACGTGGACAGTTGGGCAATGGAAACGCTCGAGATAATAGGAAGCTAGATTTGGGTCGCTGTTGACACTTTGGTTTGTTGGTTGGTGACGCGTTGTTGTTTGTTCCTCAAATTTGTTCTCCTACGATCTTCAGTTGTGGTGGTTTTTGGCCTTTTGCATTTGCAGCTCGCCGGTTCTTCCTTCGTCGCTGTCGCGTCAGAAGTCAGAGCAGTGAAAGAAGCATCCGTGCATGAGCAATGGAGGCCAACGGCGTCATCCCAGATGTGATGATGCCGTCGCTCCTCGCCGACGTCGAGGTGTCACACCTCGCCGGCTTCGATGTCACGCCGAGCCCGCACGCTGAACCCAGCCCACGCCCTCAGCTCCGCCACGACAATCCGTCCCGCTCCCGGGTGCGTCGTCGTCGCGCGCGTTACCTCCGTTTTGCTCCACTCATCCATGGCTGATCGGTGCGAACGTTACTCTGTCCTGAATGCAGGTTCCGCCGCTGGAACGCGTGTCGCGGCGCAGCGAGGTTGTGTTCCCGCCGCTGGACTCGCCGTTCCAGGCTCCAGGATACCGATCGGTGCAGCCCGTGTCCATCAGCCTGCCGGCGTCGCCGACAGGCTTCGGCGTGCCCGTGGCCCTCCCCATCGCCGTGGGCGACGCCGGCGAGCCGGCCGACCTCCGGAGGCAGGCTATGTCGAACGCGGCACGCGATGCGGAAGAACAGCAGCTGGCGGCGCAGGGCAAGGGAAGCAACAATAACGTTAGGTTCGTGCAGCCGGACAAGGTGGTGTTCCGGTCGCAGCCGATCCCTGGCGGCAAGCCGGCACGCCGCGCGGCATCGAACCGCGGCGGCCGGATGATGTCCCGGGACAGGCGCTACGACTCGTTCAAGACGTGGTCCGGGAAGCTTGAGCGGCAGCTCACCCATCTGGCTGGCGCCGGGCCGGAGGTCCCCGAGGAGGAGGAGGACGGCTGCGACGGCGACGCCATCAGCAGCCACCACACCAAGTCCATGCCTCAGGTTGATCGCTTCTTCGCCGCACTGGAGGGCCCCGAACTGGACAAACTCCGGGTAAGTTTCTTGAGCTAATTCTTCAGGAATCGATCTCTCTGCTTTGATTTGCTGGAACACTGGAGAGAGCTCATGGTGTGTGCTGTGTCGCATCAGTCATCGGAGGAGCTGGTGCTTCCGTCGGACAAAACGTGGCCGTTCCTGCTCCGGTTCCCGGTGTCGGCGTTCGGTATCTGCCTCGGCGTGAGCAGCCAGGCGATCCTGTGGAAGACGGTGGCGACGTCAACGCCGACGAGATTCCTTCACGTCACTACCAAGGTGAACCTGGTGCTCTGGTGCGTTTCCCTCGCGCTCATGTGCGTCATCGCGGCCATCTACGCTTGCAAGGTGGTCTTCTTCTTCGAGGCCGTCCGCCGGGAGTATTACCACCCGATCAGAGTCAACTTCTTCTTCGCGCCGTGGATTGCCTGCCTCTTCCTCGCCATCGGCGTGCCGCCGTCCGTCGCGACGGAGCTGCCACGCTGGCTCTGGTACGCGCTCATGACACCTATCCTCTGCATGGAGCTCAAGATCTACGGGCAGTGGATGTCCGGCGGGCAGCGGCGGCTGTCCAAGGTGGCGAACCCGTCGAACCACCTGTCGGTCGTCGGCAACTTCGTCGGCGCGCTGCTCGGCGCGTCCATGGGTCTCAAGGAGGGGCCCGTCTTCTTCTTCTCCGTTGGGCTGGCGCACTACACCGTGCTGTTCGTGACGCTGTACCAGCGGCTGCCGACGAACGAGACGCTGCCCAAGGAGCTTCACCCGGTGTTCTTCCTGTTCGTGGCGGCGCCGAGCGTGGCGTGCATGGCGTGGGCCAAGATCACCGGCGAGTTCGGCCTCGGGTCAAGGGTCGCCTACTTCATCGCCATGTTCCTGTACGCGTCGCTCGCCGTCCGGATCAACTTCTTCAGGGGGTTCAGGTTCTCGCTGGCGTGGTGGGCGTACACGTTCCCGATGACCGGCGCCGCCATTGCGTCCATCCGCTACTCCACGGAGGTGGACAACGCCTTCACCAAGGCGCTCTGCGTCGCGCTCTCCGTGCTGGCCATGCTCACCGTGCTGGCGCTCCTGGCGACCACCATCGTGCACGGCTTCGTGCTCCGCAACCTCTTCCCCAACGACATCTCCATCGCCATCACCGAGCGCAAGGTCAAACCCATCGTGGAGCTGCATGAGATGCTCGGCAGCAATGACAGCGCCGCCGGTCGTAGCAACGACGACATCGAGGCCGGTGTTGCGACAGTCGAATCATCGTGATCCGACTAAAAGCACACGCTCAGTACAACATGTACATGAATCGAGGATGACACGAGACAACGCATGACTGTTCTTGCTTGCCTCGTGGACTTGCATTGATCTGTGGCTTAGCATACGTGGCATGCTCACTAGACACAAAGATTGCCTCGTGGACTCCTGGTGTAAATCAAGAAGAGGAACCTTTAACTTTTCGATTAAGCTTGCGGCTAGATGTTCTGTACATTTTTCAGATAATGGATTATAAGAACCTAGTATCTCCCTCCGTTAAAAAAAAACGAATATAGACATATTCTAGTAAAACGAATCTAGACATAGGTATGTCTAGATTCGCAGTACTACGATGTGTTATATTCAGTACTAGCTTGATTTTAATGGGACGGAGGGAGTAGAGATGTACATAGCCAAATGGTACGGACAGTAGTACATAAACTTACCCCAAAACATGGGGAATTCAACAGCAAAACAAAAAAACTCACTCAAAAGAAAAGAAACAGAACTAAGCTTGAATCCTTCTTTTAAAATTACAGCTTGCAATAAGCCTTCACCATGCTGCCAACCTCTTCTTCATTAAATAACAATGACCAGAGCCTTGTCCAACGTGTTCCCTGAAAATTACTTGTAAAAATGAATTAAAATGGTAGCCATTAAACACCACGTCATTTCTACTCAGCCAAACCACCCAACAAATCACATCTATACCCACAAAAATTAATTTTTGAATTATAGGATTAAACCTATTTGACTGACTACCAAATATATGAGCTATGTTACTGGGTTGAAGGATGCCAAAGGCAAGGTAGAATGAACTCCAGATGTACCTCACCAATCACCATGCAACAACCAAAAAATAGTTGTATTGTCTCATTAGAGTTGCAAAAGTAGCAACTTAGGCTACCTTTTCACTTTTTTGCCAAATTGTTTTTCGCTATGATGACCCCTTCTTTCAAGTACCAAAAGAAAACACTACTTTTCAAGGGAATTTTAAGTTTCCAAATTAAGGATTTTCTAGGCACCACATCCCCATACATAACTGGCTTGTATAATGTGTTAACCGTGAAACTACCATTTTTTTTGTCCAAATTACATACAAAGGAATCCTTATGCTCTATCAATGTTACCATCACAACCTTAGCCACTACCTCATATCATGCTCTCAAGTTCTCCCGAACTAGAGCCTCCTAAGAGACACATTCAATGGAGTTGAACTCAAAACAATAGCCACTATAGCGTTCTTGTTTCTCACAAGGTTATAAAGGGTCGCGAATTCCTTTCCCAAAGGTTGGTCGCTCACCCACTTGTCCTCCCAGAATCTTACACATGTTTCATGATCCATCTTGCATTTTAAACAAACCGAACAACTGAAAAATTTCCTTAACAACCATTTGGCTGTGGACTAAACGTGTGAGTCACTCGTGGTCACTACTTGCGTTTTGCCAAGCTGAGCCTCCTTCATAAGCTAGCTGTGGTTGGTCCCAACCCGGGGTATACCCAGGTTAGGCTCCAATCCGCTTGTTGTGCAAATGGGTATTGTGGTTGTTGCTACGGCTGCTCCATGGCTACATTCCTCGACATGCTCCAAATCATACTGCCAGAAACAGTGCTCCCGCGAGCAAGCTCTCGTGGTACAAGAGGAATAGTTAGCGCGTGACACTTATGCAAATAAAATTTCGGGTTAAGTAATGGAATCTCATTTGTATATCCGGGGAAGAAAATTATAAGAGAGGCATTTGGGTTATGTTTCAAAGTATGCTCTTGCACAAGATAATCCTCATAAATAATGGAGCGTGGCTGGGAAATGTCGTCTATGATTTGACCATTCTCCAGTGCTCCAACTTCCACAGCAATACAAGTGATTAAGAATGTGCACTCTATTGGTCCTAAACTCTTAAGATGTTATAACCACTGTTTTATCATAGCTTTGACAAGATAGACTTTTATCTTTTTAATTATGGCATATATGATTTTCAACTCATCATTGCGAATAGGCCTCACATCCTCCCGCTGGAAGAGAGTAAGAGCCAACCATTTTTGTATCAAGCCCAAGGTTGGGTCACTAGTACAAAACTCCTTATTGGTACCGGTTGGGAACCGGCCATAGGTGTCAGTTTTCCCAGCTGGTACCAATTTGGTGGTACCAGTACCCAACTACATAGGTGACAGTTTTAGAACTGAGATTATAGGTGCCGGTTCTCCCACAACCGGTACTTATATTATTCACCAAATAAAAAAAAGGATAGGTGCCGGTTCTCACCCACAACCAGTACTTATATTATTCACCAAATAAAAAAAAGGCTAGTCGTCATTGCCTCCTTCTAGCCCGTCAGCCCTTCGCGCAGGCCTTCCCTGCCACCATCGCCGGATCTGGCTGGGTGCGGGCGGCTGCCACATCCATGCCGCTGCCCGAGCTTGCACCGGCGCTCCTCTCTTCTCCGCACGCCGCTCGTCCGTTCTCGCCCCCGGTGCAGCATAGAGGAGGAGATGCTATCGCGGCACTGCTGCCACCTGGTGGCGGGATCTGGCGGCCCCCGACCTCCATGTGACCGGATCCGGTGCGATGCGGCGAGATGGAGGAAGGGCGCCAGGGGTGGAGGCAGAATAAATGATCATCAGGGCCAATACTAATTAACGAGAGTAACAGCTAGCTAATAGTTTCTAATAATTTTCAGGCTCTGTTCAAAACATCTCTCCCATGCACCGAAAATGTAGTAGCTTATTAGGGCATGATTAATTAATTAATTAATTAATAGCTAAAAAACCTTTAAAATGGATTAATACAAATTTTAAAGCAACTTTTTTGTAGATTTTTTTTTGAAAACCCATCGTTTAGCAGTTTGGAAAGCGTGCATGTGGAAAATGAGAGATTAGAAATTGGAAAAGAGTATGGAACAAAAGGAATGATGACACATTATGGTAAAATAAATTATTGTTCTTGTAGTGGCTATCTCGCTATCTCTTACATCAGAATTGTGGGTAGAAATTCTAGTTTCACAAGACATATGAAAGTAAATGATCACATCATTATTTGGATTTGAACTGTTGACTCTATTAGTCTTTCAAGAATCACCATTGCTGACTCAAATCTGAAATGTATACATTTGTGTGGACTGACGTATAATTATAAGTGTTACCTAATTAATTTTGTATTTGCTGCCTGCTAATAGTGCTTTCCTTGCTGTCAGTTGAGCTTGAATAAAACAAATCACCGGGGTCTAGTGCTTTCGTTGACTAGGGTAATAGCTGTAAAATAGAGAGGGATATAGGGTAAGCTTAGGAAATCATCGGGGTCTACTGACTGTTTGTATTTCTTAACGTCATTACTAGAAGTATTCATTCCCAGCAATAGCGCAGAAATAGTCTTGGTATATTTATGGTTACAAAAGTAATCCGCAAGCGCACGGATATACCATTGTAGCATTTCACCCGGAAGTATTCTAAGGTACCGTATTTATTTAATCCCAAGAGAAGATTGTGAAAGAGAGAACCATGCTAATATATAACCATATATATTACTTGCTTTCATCAAAGTCTAAGCAGGGGTTAGTTTAATATAAGGGTAGAGTGACACGAAGCGAAGCTTATAGATTTCCTCATATAAATAATTCTAAACTAAGTGGAAGAAGAGATAGAAAGAACTCATTTCCTATACTTCTAATATACACTCAAACTCTAGTCTACATTTGCTAGTATACAATCATGTGGCTAATACCCCCAAATAGTGCCCTCCTGGTGTTTCGAGAGACCACCCCGGGTTGCTGAGTTTCTTATGACAACCTGTCATGACCGTCCAACTAGGGCTAAATATAGAGGAGTACCCTCCCCAGGAATTTGTCTTAGGAATATATACTAACGTGGAGGAATACCCGTACTAAGCTGTCACCATCAGCGGCCCACCTCTACTATCCCGCAACATATATGCCCAGATAATGATATTTACTAATCTAAGCACCATGCCTACAGCCCTACATTAATAAATACTACTCTACACCTCTGGAGATGATATAGAGCAACCGATAAATCGGACACTAAACCCACACCGTTGCACCTCTCTGGTAGGCTACGCACACAATTATATCGACACAAATATATAGTAAAAGCAGTACTTGTACTAAGTAAAGTACCGAGAATACAAGAAGAAGAGTATTTCATTAATTCCAAAAGTATTACAGAAGAGAATAGAAAAGCTACTAGAGCCATACCGAAACTCTTCCAAAGACTCTGAATACTATTCTATTCTACTCCATTTAGCACTAAAACTACTAAAATAAAGTATGAAAAGGAATATTGAGCTTGCTTGAGTGTGTTGAGAGAGTGAATGAGATCCTCCTTTTATAGGGAAGTTATGACGGTTACTTCTATGCGAATTGTCCATTCTGCCCCTGAACTGTCAATAAGGAGTGATCCTGGACGTCCACATGGAGGGCCAGCTAGAGCTGGAGCCACCAGGGTTCGGCGGAACCCTAGGTTCAGCCGAACCTGGGCCGGCCCAGAAGGTCTGCAGGTTTGGCTAAGGCACTGACAGGTAGGTCCCTTTGTCGGTTGTGACAGTTAAGGCGGTTTCCGGACGGTTATACCTGACATGTGGGCCCTCCTTATCCTCTAGCTTGCTTAGGAGTAAGGTTTCTTCACCTTCTCTTATTTTATTTGCTAAATTCTTGCAGCATATTATTCTCGAAGTACAAGTGGAACTATATTATTCTAAAACAAATGTACATTATAAGCATAGCTAATTCCCTTTTATTACGGTTATATTGACGGTCGAAATTGGTCTATAATGACCGTCAACATTGACCCTGATGACTTCACGTAGCTTCGCCCCTGAGGGGCGCTGCCAAGAAGAGGAGGAAGAGAGTGCGGGACGGTGGTGGGCTCGTAGGTGGAGGAGAGGAAGAGGAGGAACGGTGGGAGGATAAGGTGGGTGGGGAGAGATGTGGCCAATCGGTTTTTATGGGTATAGGTGCCAGTTTTTAATTAACTGGTACTTATAATATGCTATTGGTGTCAGTTTTAAATTAAATGATACCTATAATATATTTATAGATGATGGTTGTTTTAAAAACCGGTACTTATAGTTTTTGTGCTGGTTTTTTCGTTAGAACTAGCACCTATAGGGCTCAAAGGTGTCGGTTCTATATTTTTTCACTACGTGGAGGTGGAAAAGGTCCATAGGTGTCCGTTTTGAATGAACCGATACCTATTAGCCGGTACATATTAGGGGTTTTGTAGTAGCGTGTTGTGCATGTCGTTGCTTCACGGT